AAACCCCAAAGTGTTCATTTCCTGACAGGTGAGAAAACATGAGATGCAGTGTCCTGAATTCTAGAGTTGGTGCTTGCTGGTGAAGGACACCTTCAGCTTAGACCATTCTCCCAACCAAAGCCTGAAGAAAAACTCTAATACCTAATTCTTTGTGGGAAAATTACCAACTAGCCACTCTGCAGGTTATAAAAAAAAAGGAAGATGGGGGCATCTTTCCTTCTGTCCTGGATCAGAGGTGCCTCTACTTAACATTGATCAGGGAATGAGAGGCGGCTGTGCCTACGGTCTGAGAACTGGCTTACTCGGAGCCATCTGCAGTGAGGCACAGGATTACCAGAGGACAGCAGAGGGCCGGCTGGCCTCCTCTTGGAGCAGCCAGCTGAGCAGCATCGGTCTAAAAAGCCCCAAATGGAACACCCCTATGGGTTCAGGAAGGACTGAGGTGCTGCCCTTTCTAACATGTGCCAAAAAAATAACATAGTACTCTGATCAGGGCCCCAGGGACTTTGAATTCGGATGGATAGGTGCCGGAAAATGGGAGGGCAAAAGTCAGCTGCTCTTCCCCCCACAGCCTTAGGCCAACACAAACTGCAAATTAGTAAGTAGCACCTTAATGCCTCTGGTGACAGTTACAGCCGAAGTGGCAGGGTCAAGCTTGTAGGTGTTGGCATCCCCCTTTTTATATCGGTCCCGAAAAACATAGATGCTCCCGTTACAGCTGGCGATCTTCCAGAGGGATGGGGCAGAGCTCCAGGCCTCAGGAAGGCAAAGCCGGGTAAAGCTGTCTAGCAGGGGATTGTAGCACACCAGGGAGTCCCCTTCAGCCACGATGAACACCAGATCCTTATGCACAGCTGCGTGCATGCGACCTGCGAAGGGCAGAACATAGGGCTTCACATGGCATTTGTCTGTCTCTGTGTCAAAGCACTGGATGAGTCGGGAAGGTTTGGTAAAGAAGTCCAGGTCATTCTCCTCCCCCCCGAGTAAGTAGATGATCCCGTTAAGGTTGGCACCAGCGGCCCCTGACACAGCCACCTCTAGCTGGGTTGTCTCTGTCCAGACGTTATCACCTACCCGATAATAGATAACTGCATTGGAGAGGGTATCCTGCAGTGTCTTGCCACCCAGTGAATATATAGCATCTTTCCCGGGCACAGACACCAGGGTGTGCTGGAGCCGGTCCCGGGGTAAAGGTGCACACCATTCCCAGTCCACAGTGGCATTGTTGCACTTCCACATGCGCCGTGGGATGGACCCTCCCACCACGTATAAGTCTCCACCGTGCTTACAGGCTGCAGTGATCTGGTGGCACAAGCTGTTTTGGCCACTTACACTGATGGAGTCATCTTCTGCACAGTGTAAGGACACAGCCAACGAGTGGGTACGAGATGACTCTTTCCCGATCAGGTAAATGTGCACATTCTCCCCGATCTCCTATTGGCAAAATTAAAATCATAGATGACATCTATCAGTTCTAGGCTAAGGCTCAGCTGAGACGCCTACCCTTAAGGTTCTGGACCACACACTTGTATCCTGCTCTAACCTACTTCCCTCGAGTTACTGTGTGCCATTCTGACTGTCCTCCAGTCACTTTCTTTCAGACATTTTATGCTGGGGCAGAGAATCTGTTGCTCTCATCCCGAGCTGGTGCTTTAGAAAAAAAGGTGCTTAGGATTAATGCAATGGTAAAAGTAGTTCTCTCAAGGAACTTTGTGGAGCTCAGAGGCTGGTGGTTTCTGGGCTCATGCACACATCCTCTTCCCCAGTTCTTAACTTTGAACCAGAGATGACTCATTAACCAGCTAACAGTGAGGCCAGACCAATAGCTGGAATGCATAGATATTATGGTGTCCCAACCCTAAAGAGAAATCTGCCTTACCTTCAAGCTAGTTCTCAGTGACTCTGCAAAAGCCTCTCTTTCTTCTTTATTGAAATTGATCCAAGCTTCTATTGCCTCTGTTGGGTTCTGGGAACATGGAACTCCGTCTGTGGGAGTCAGAGGAAAGACAGAGTCAATGGCAATCCAACAATCCAAAAGGGAAATTTAAAGCCAGTGTGAATCACTTTGTTGGACTATCACCGTGTGTGTGTGTGTGTGTGTGTGTAAGAAATTAACCTAAATTGCATACCTCACTTGCAGGGTCAGGATTGTTTTTTGTTTTGTTTGTTTTTTAAAGATTTATTTACTGGGCACCTGTGTGGTTCAGTTGGTTTAGCATCTGACTCTTGGTCTGGGCTCAGGTCATGATCTCATGGTCGTGGGATCAAGCCCCGTATGGGGCTCTCTGCTCAGTGCAGAGCCTGCTTCAGATTCTTTCTCCCTCTCCCTCTGCCCCTTCCCACTTGCACCCTCACTCAGTGGCACTCTCTTTCTAAAATAAATAAATAAAATCTTAAAACATTTTTATTTATTTGAGAGAGAGAGAGCACGCATGAGCGGGGGGAGGGGGGCAACGGGAGAGGGAGAGAGAATCTCAAGCAGATCTTTGCTGAGCGCAGAGCCCCACACGAGGCTTGATCCCACAATACAAAGACCAGGACCTGAGCTGAATCCAAGAGAGCAAGGCTCACGGACTGAGTCACCCAGGCGTCCCCAGGGTCAGGATTGTTACCTTAAGTCGGCCCATCACTTAAAATGTTATGTAAATATCTTGACTCATCATCAGTTTACTTAGGTAACCAGTCCCACAGGTACAGGCAAAGTGCAGGATAGATGAGAACATTTATACACAAAACAGCTCCTCACTACCTTTTGGTTTTTTTTTTTTTATTCAATACTTGTATATAGTTGACCCTTAAAAAACGGGTTTGAAATGTGTGGGTACACTTATATGTGGATTTTTTTCAATAAATGTAGTACAGTATTGCAAATGTATTTTCTCTTCCTTATGATTTTTCTAATAACATTTTCTTTTCTCTAGTTTTATCGTAAGAACACAGTACATAATACAACATACAAAATACATGTTAATTGATTGCTTATGTTATCGATAATGCTTCCGGTCAACAGCAGGGTATTTGTGAAGTTTTGGGGGGAGTCAAATTATACATGGATTTTGACCGTGCAGAGGTCGCAGTCCTCATCCCCACATTGTTCAAGGGTTAACTGTATATCACAAAGTACTGCTTTTATTTTCCAGGGTTCTTGCTCTGGAAAGGACTGCCTATGACAGCAGCTGAATCTCACCTCAATCTCTCAAAAGGGATCTAAATTCTTACCAGGAATAATAATGTAAATTAATACCAGGAAGCCTGAAGATTCCTTTCTCCTGAACTAGAAGCTCCACTAAACATCATACCCAAGTAGTTGAGTATGATGTGCCCCCTCCCTCAACTTACCCGAGATGATATCAGTGAGTAGATGGTGGGGCAGGTGGAGAAATTCCTCTGTGCTCTGCAGCTGGGCCAGGTGGGCCTTGGCACAGTGTTTGGCAGCAGTATAGAGCTCAGGATCACTGTGCCTATCTGCCAGCCACATCACCTGAAGGCAGTTCCCCACCTGCACTGTGCGGGCCAAAAACCGAGAACATTCCTCAAAGAGAGATGTCAGCTGATACATGTCTGACACCTCATAAATTTCCTGTAGCTCTTCAGCTCGAAGTTTCACGGTCCCATGGTAGATATAATCAACCAGGAGCTGGAAAACAGATTCGCTGACATCCTGCAGTACAATCACTCGGTTGTGAGCCTCCTTCAGGTTGGAAGTGAACATGGACCGGAAAAAGCAGCTCTGAGCTGAGAGGACCAGCCTGTGGAGCTGAAACTCCCGGCCTTCCACTGAAATGGTGACATCAGCAAAGAGCTCTTCCTCCAGACACAGTTTCATGATGCCCTGAGCCACACGGCCAGAGTGTGACCTATCTTTGAAAGTGTAGTTCACAAAATAGTTTTCATCCATGGATGCTCCAGGCTCCTCTGGTGATTCCATGGTAGCCAACTTTTCTCTCTGCCAGCTGTCTGCAAAGCAACACCACCCTGAGTAATGGGGAATCCACAGTCTTTGAATCCAACTGTTCAATTCAGGGAGGGAGAAGATAAAAGTGACAGCAAAGTAGGCGGAGATTGACCTTAGTCCTAATGACCTCTCAGAAGCTCTCCTTCAACCAAAGCTGAGTTCATTCTGCAGTGCACTCCATCCCTAATGAAATCAATAAAATTTCCTACTCTGGGTGTTTCCCTAAGAAAACAGAATATTCCTTTCCATGATGTAACAAAAGGCTTGGTATTTAGGCCAACACGTGAAAGCAAGGCGCTGGATGAAGCCTATGATCTTAAGCCTGGCAAAAAGCCTTACTAACCAAATGACTATTGGGCACAAAACTAGTGAGGCTCTGGGCAGCAGAACCCGACAAAATAGACCCCCACGTTCTTGTAGACAAGGTCCCTCTTCCCCCGCGCATGGAGTTCAGACCTTCCAAAATGAGGCTTGGCCTGGGACATCTGTTAGCCCCACATTTTCTCTTTTCTGCTTCTCTCCTGCACTTCCCTGCTCGCCCTAATGACTCCCCAGACCTCCGTCCCAGAACGCGAGACGAAGCCCAGCCGTCCCCTGCCCGGTTCAAGAGTAGGCCCAGCGCCTTGAGTCGCCTAGGAAACGGTCGCTAGGGAAACCGTTCTTCTCTCCCCCTCTCCCCAATACCCCGCCCCCGGCTCCTCTCCACGCCCCCTCCCGGCGCCCGCCGGCCCCAGTCAAAAGCTTAGCTCGGGGGGCGGGGGCGGGGGAGGGGAGTGGAATGTGGAACCCAGAACCCCGGCCCCTTCCCCTTCTCTCACCCGTCCGGTTCTTTAGGGTCCTCGCCTTCTCTCCAGCCTCTGCTACACCAAACTAGGGCCACGTTCACCTCACGGTTTGCCCACCTGTCTACCTCAGTTTCTCACCTGCCTACCCTTTTATTCTGAAGCCCGGAATCCGGAACCTCTGCTTTCGCCCCCGCGTCCGCCCGGAAGAAAAATTGGACGTACACTTCCGCTTCCGGTCCGTGCCCTTGGGGCTCCGTGTCCTGTGGCTCTTGCCTTGGCTGCGTGGTTGCATCCCGGAACATGGCGGCGGCGGCGGCGGCGAGGGGGTGGTGGCGGGGGCTCGTGGGGTCCGTGGCGCTGGCCAGGAGTAAGCCGGGGGCAGCCGGCTGAGGCCCGGGGCGGGAGCGGAGGCGCGCTTAGCGCAGGGAGCCCATCAAACTTCACCTTGCGCTTGTCTTTTTATCTTCCGGTGCAGGGGCCGGGCGACCCTCGGTGCTGTTGCTGCCGGTGAGGAGGGAAAGCGCCGCGGCTGACACGCGCCGTGAGTATGTGCGGGCCGGGCCCTTCTCGGGACTACAGGCGGGGGACCCTTCATTCTTTTCGTCAGGTGTTTGCCCTTGCCCTGGGATGCCCTTCCCTGTGTCCTCTGGCAAATCTCTGCTTGTGGAGACCTGACTGCAGTGGGCCTCATTCTGCGAGCAGAATCGGGCTCTCCCTGTGTCCTTATGTCTCCCTGTTATGGCCCTGATTACCCCTTGTCCGTTTCCATGATTCCTTTTCGCTCTGATTAAACTGTCAGCTCTTTGAGAGCAGGAAACAGCGTTTGGGTCTTAGAGTCCTGTTAAGATAGTAGTTCACATTGAGTGCTTGTTGTATGCTAGGCAGCTTGCTAAGTGATTTAGCGAATGATTTTATTTAGTCTTCAGAACAATATTATGAGGTAGATAGCATTGTGATCCTCTTACTATAGATTAGGAAACAATTCAGAGAAGTAACTTGTTCAGAGTCACAGAACTAGTGAGTGACAGGCAGTCCTGCCCGCTGCCAAAGGCAGAGAACACTTAACCACGGTGTGTGCAACCTATGATGTGTGGTTACTCAGTGATTGAGGGATGCATAAATGGGTGTATGGAGATATAGTACAATCAACATAAGCAGATTGAGGGTCAGGAGACCTGGCATTTCCTCCTTTTGGACTTCAGTTTCCTTATCAGTGGGGGGAAAAAAAGTTTTTTGGTTTTTTTTTTTTTAAGATTTTTTTATTTGAGAGAGAGATAGCGACACATAGGGAGAGAGAGAGTATGAACAGGGAGGAGAGGGAGAAGCAGGCTCCATCCCAGAACCCTGGGATCATGACCTGAGCCAAAGGCAGACGCTTGACCAACTGAACCACCTAGGCGCCGCCCCCCCAAAAAAAAGGTTTCAACTAGATAATCTTTGAGGGCTCTTCAGCCCTGAAGTTCTTAGCTTGAGAACCTGCTGTGAGCCAGGTTCTAAGGAGATAACAGAGAAGCAAACATTCTTAAAGAGTTCCTGGTCTGGTAAGAGAGTTGAGATAATATGCTACTCTAGCAGAAATGCAGGCGTTGTGAAAGGAAGAACCAGGGAATAGCTTTGAGAAGAGGCAAAGACCCCAATTGCAGTTATAAGAAGAGTCTTTGTGGACTTTGTAGGTGACATTTTTCCTAAATTTTCCCTGGAAGAGGAACCCTCCACCCTCAGCTTCTTCAAGGTTCTGCAGGGAGCCCTGCTGGGAGGCAACACCCCTTGGGAGCCCAAGAGACTGAATGCAGGCGTGGCTGCTGCCTTCTCCATTCCTTTGTTAAATATGCCTTCTCCTTCCAGCCACTGTCAGACCTCGGGATGATGTGGCCCACAAGCAGCTCTCAGCTTTTGGAGAGTATGTGGCTGAAATCCTGCCCAAGTATGTCCAACAAGTTCAGGTAATATTCACAACCGTTGTTTGGTCATGGGTCAAGAAAGAACCATGTTCTCAGGGTATGTAGGAGTAGGCAGCCTGGTATGAAAGAAACCAATCTCTTCTATCCCACTTGGACTTTTTTTCTCTGTCTTAAACCAGGATACTCCAGCTGAAGTTAGCTGCTCTCTCAATAGCTCTTTGTACCTTCTTTTTTCCCTTTCCGTATCTGCAGGTGTCTTGCTTCAATGAGTTAGAGATCTGTATCCATCCTGATGGAGTCATCCCAGTGCTGACTTTCCTTAGGGATCACACCAATGCACAATTCAAATCCTTGGCTGACTTGACAGCAGTGGACATCCCTACTCGGCAGAATCGTTTTGAGGTCAGTAAGGAAATTTGAGAAGATTTGGTGGGTAAAGAAAAGGCTTGTGTGTCTTAGGGTGATAGCTACCAATGGGAACCATAGGCCTCCTTAGTTTTACTTCAGGTCAAACAATACAACAGTACAAACAATACAACACAGCAGTTAAACTAGGGCCTTAAATCAAGCAAACCTCAAGTTTGAATCCTAGCTCTGCCACTAATAGGCTACGTGACTTCAGACATTTTGTTTAATCTTTTTTTTTTTTAAAGATTTAATTTATTTATTTGACAGAGACACAGCGAGAGAGGGAACACAAGCAGGGGGAGTGGGAGAGGGAGAAGCAGGCTTCCCGC